CTCTCACCCCCCCCCCCCCCCCCCAGCTGGTTGTCCAGCCTGGTCATAGCTGGTCAACAGGCTGATTTTAGAGGGGCTTTGACTACTTCTTTAGCTGGTCAGACTGGAAGACCAACTGACCAACCAGCTAAAACCAGCTTGGCCAGGCTGGGAGACCAGCTAAAACCAGCTATACATCCATCTTAAACCAGCTAAGACCAGCCAACCAGCTTAGGCCGGGTTTAGCCTTTTTTTGTTTTTTTTTAGCAGGGCTGGGCCATGATGACAACTTGAACTCATATGCATGCCAAAAGCGAAGAGCATATTCTCATTGATTTACTCGCTCTAGATTACTCTCTTTACTCTCTTTAGATTAAGCTCTGGATGATATTCGTCTCACCAGCTCTTCACTGAATGGCTTGCGCCACAACACATCATGCAAATTTCCGCTATAGTTGACATTTTTATCCTTGCGCGGAAGACGCGATTGAGGCGAATATCGCGTGTTGGCGACAATCGCGTCTTCCGGCGCGCCGCGAATTCACTTGTATTTGCATTGACTTTTTATATGTAATCTACTCGCGCAAATAATTAAATTCTCTTTTGGTGTGCACATCATTTACACACCCTTATGTCATTCCAAACCTGTTGGATACAAAACATTCTTCAAAATATCTTCTTCTGTGTTATGCAGAAAAAAGAAAGTCATACAAGTTTGGAACATTTTTAGGTGAACAATCACTTTAAGAAGGTATCACTGGACAATTTTAGAGATACCTAGCAGAATGAGGTTTTATTCCAGTCGTTAATTAAACAATTTTGACAAACACTTACATAGATTTAGCTGTTTCCCTATTGAAGTAGATGCATGTTCTTGACTGAAAATAGCTGCCTTGGGATGTTACAAATACTACTAGTGAACTGGTTTGCCTTAAAAGGACTTTGTATATAGAGTCATACTGCTGTCATGATAAGATTACAGCATATTTGTCACTATGAAAGGTCCAAGACTAAACCAAACAGATCAGTTATTGGAATGACAAAGAACTTTCCTAGTGTGTCACCAGTCTTAAGATATTGCTTGTGAGCTTGATGCTTTTCAATCAGGAAACATGAGATAACAGCAAAGGTCCGCTGCCCTGCCTGGGGCCAGTAACAGTGATGGACAGTGATGCCAACAGAGGCCTAAAAATCATTGGCCTAATCCAATCTGTCATTCTGCTCCAATATCAATATCTTATAGTGGCAGATAACAATGTATCCTTTAATAGAGAAAAGCGCAAAGCACCACATGGTAAAAAAAAGACTTAAAGATGATGGAATGTAAGCCACTGGAAAGTTGTCAACCCGACTTCATTTTCATTTGGGTTGGGCGATAAGTGTTCAGAGAATAACTGGCAGTGACGCTGTAAAATATCTCAGATTAAAATACGGAGTTTGTGTGCATTTACAACTTTTGATCATATCAAAGTTTGCATTATACAAAAGGAGAAGATCTTTTAGTGCAGTGTAAACAAATACAGCTGGCCTTTGTCCATGATCAGTGTGGTAACATAAAGCACAAAATACAGACCTGTTACTCTCATTTTCCCTCTATAGACAGGTGGAAATGAAGAACAAAGCACTCAGACGTCAGACCCTATTTCCCATAACCTTGGAAATGAGGCTATGAATAATCAGGGACACCTGTGTTGCAGCAGTGGTCAGTGATACCATCACACTCGTCTCCAATATTGACACTTTGGAGTACAAAGAAATTATTCTCTATAGTCCCTAATGAGACTAGAAATAGAGATGTGTCACGAAGTCATCAAAAACACATATCTCAGAAGAGGACTGCTCAACAGAACTGAAAAAACAAACGTTACAGCTGCAAAAATAACTGAATATCAAGATTGCAATTACAGCTGCCACAATTAAGTTACCGGGACAAAGTGTCGATTACAGCATTCCATTTTAGTTTGTCAATGCGTAGTGGCCAATTAGAGGTGTTAAAATGAGCCTACACCTTATAAGTAATGACAACCGGTACTAATGTGCATTTTGTTTCACTCTTTGATTTGTGGTGGCACAAAAACAGTCGTGAAACTCTGCATTCTTCATTAACGAAATGGAAGCATTCTAATAGCACATTAACCTGAAACCTGTTGCATGTTTTACAGACCACCAGAGTAAATAAGCTCCCGTCGTAACACAATGGCCATGGCTTGCAGCTAAAGCTCACACACAATTTATGGGTCATTTCTGGTACTCAGTTTTCAAAGATCTCAAATTCTTGGCTCTCCTAAGGTTACTTAAATGTGTTTATGGCTGTAACGGTGGGTTTAAGTTTAACAAACTCAGACTTAAAGGACATGTGCTTAACATGGGATCTATTCCTCTAATGCTAGTAAAATGTATGCTATTTTTGCCAACTGTCAGCACTACACACTTATGAAATAATCATATTATTTCACAAAATATGGAAATTCTGTCATCATTTACTAACCCCATGTTGTTCTGAAAACCTCTGTATTTTCTTTTTTTTCTACGAAACACAAAAGTTCCAAACAGACTGTGGTGCTCTTAAAGGGGTCATAGGATGCCCATTTTCCACAAGTTGATATGATTCTTTGGGGTCTTAATGAAAATTCTGTAACATAGTTTGGTTTAAAAATTTCTCAATGGTAGTGTAAAAAACACAATTTTTACCCTGTCAAAAACAGCTCTTTTCAGATCAAGACGTTTTTGTAGCATTTTCCTTTAAATGTCCTTTAAATGTTAATGAGCTCTGCTGACCCCGCCCCTCTCTTCCGAGCTGCTCTCAGAGAGACTGTTTATTTTAGCCGCATTCATCCTGAAACTTGCTAATTAGCACATTATTAGGAAAGGCGATTTGCAAAGATTCATTACAAAACATTATACTCACTTCTTCTGTAGATGAGGCTGGATCATGAATGATTCACGCGAACATAGACACATTTATGTAGATCGGGGGCGCATTCCCTTCAGAAACAAATGTAATCCACTGCGAGTTCAGCGGCTCAGATGTCAGGTGTAAATGACGACTGCTGTTCATTATTACATCCAACAACAGAACACCTCAGTCGCTTAGGAGTCATTCTTGTCTACATCTGCTCCGGCGGTGAAACAATGGCGGACTGATGACAGCTCACTCAGGGCGGGTCTGAGGTAAGACACCAGTCCAGTCTGTGCTGAAACGCTACTGTCAATCAAACTATCGTGGGAGGGGCCTGTCTGTGTGACGTCACACAGACAGGCATCTGCGATTGGCTCGATTTGAGAAAGGGGAAAACATTTAACCAGATTAAAAAAAAACACTGGGTGGATTTTTATCATTATAGGGTGGTTGTGTACACACACTGCCAACACACATTTCAGTTCAAACAACTT